TCCGCCTCCTCCTCCTCCTCCTCCTCCTCCTCCTCCTCCTCCTCCTCCTCCTCCTGCTCCTCCTCCTCGTGTGACGACACAGCCACAGGATGGTGGCTTGACCCGGGCAGCAGCGGCTGAGGGCGCAACCCTTCAGCTATCCGACCCACGACATTGCGTGTGCAACGGCCACGCCCACATTCCAAGTGCGTGTAATGAAGCCCGCACGATAATTCATAGAAGCAATCAGAATGCAATATGCTGCTGTGCCAAACGTGTAATAATCAGCTGCGTCTTTTGCAGCGAAACCAGGATATGCAAGCCACAGCGTGACTGAGATTATCACAGAGTGCACGCCAGCCGACAGAAGCATCTCGACAATCCGGAGCCGGTGCAGGTCCAGGCCCCGGCGGCTCACCTCGTACAGCTGCGGCATGCTAAGAGCCTCCTCCTCGGTCACATCGCAGTCAAAAATGCCTGTAGCGATGATTGGAGGCCCCAGGACGAAGTTGTACACCGCTCGGGTGAACTCCTCGAAGAAACTTGTTGCTCCGAAGGCAGCGTCGAACGTATAATAGAACATGATGAGCACGAGCACGGTGTTCTTCCAGAAAGAGTACAGGACGAACTTACAAGTCCGACGGTAGTTCCAGCGTCCATGCACCAGCAGCAGCCGCCTCAGGAAGCGGAACTGCGCGATGGAGAAGTCCGCTGCGTTGACGGCCTGTCGCCCCTCCCGACCGGAGATGCCGATGCCCACCGACGCTTCCTGAATCATCGGCACGTCATTCGCGCCGTCGCCGATGGCGAGAGTCACAGGCCGAGGGCTGACGCCAGTCTGCACCAGCCTCACCATCTCCGCTTTCTGGAGGGGCGAGACGCGGCAAGCAATCCGCCAGCCACCCTGTGCGGCTTCAAAGCTGTGAGCCGCCACGCTGCACCGTCTGGAATGCTGCTCTCTGGTGGTGTTCTCGCATCGCCTTCGGCAATGGACAGAACTTGTCCCCACAGGCCACGTCGAAGGACTCCGCACGAGATCTCGCTTCCCTGGGTGCTGCCACATGTCGCGGGCCCGTGGGTTGTGTGCGTCCGTTGGTCATGTGATGCATTGACTGTCCTTGGACCTCTCCTGTGCTGTTGGGCCCTCGGTTCGAATCCGCAGCGCCGCGTCCCACCTCCTACTCCTCCTCCTCCCACCTGCCTCTCCCCCACGGCAACGGCGCCTCCATTTCGGCACACCCCTCACGCGGATCGTGCCCCATCTGAAGATCCACATTTCAACGTTTTCTCATTCGGCGTTTCGACATTGGGCGGAAGGGGGTGGGGGGAGGGGGAGAGTCTGGCCCGGGATCTCTGCTTAATGCAACTGTTTGCCACAGTGCGTCCTACGGGGGAGACTCCACCTGCTCGACACAGGCGTCCAAAACAGCCGAGAGGTCTACTCCGTGGAGGGGGGGGAGGAGGGGCGAGGGCCCGCGCCGATCGGCAGAACAATACATGAGGAAACGATCACCATACTGTCCCCATGGCCCAATGGATGTGCTCAAAATGAAATACAAGGAAAAACGGCATGATCACAAACTTTAGGCGCTCCGCGCGGATTTCTTGGATCTGCGCTGGACCCCCCTCCCGGGCGCGCGGGGCGCGCCAGGGGCGGAGCCGGAGGCGCCGCCTCGGGGGCCCCGGCGCAGATCCAGGAAAGATCCGCGCGGAGCGCCAAAAGCTTGCGTGCACGGCGCCTTTTCTTCTCCGACTGCACGGCGGTGCCGCGCCCCTCGGCGCACACCCCTCGCGCGGAGCGTGGCCCGCGCAGGGAGCTCCGCCTGCGGCCTCGGGTGGAGATCACCCCGCGTGCCGGCGCCGCGCGCCAATTCCGGCGCACCGCCTCTCGGGCGGCGGCGCCCGGTCTCGAGGAGGGCACCGCCCTGTGTGGAGGCGAGGATGGCTTCGCGCTGCCCGTCGTGCTTCGGGTGCTCTCTCTCTCGCTGCCACGATCCCTCGCAGAATGCAGCGGGTCCTCGATCCCAGGGCTGCGATGCCTCGTGGCCCGTGGCGGGCCTCCTGTTCCCAGGGCCACAGTAACGAGCAAGCTGCGATAGATCCTCACCCCCAGGTCCACGATCAGCTGCAGGATTCAACGAGGCGGCTTCAGATAGTCCCGAACTGGCGAAAGAGTTCTCAAGAGGGCAGAAGACTACTCCACGAGTTGATTAGCTCAATGGTCCGCAGGAAACCAAAGCTCCAGTCAGGCTCAAAGAAAGTCCCGAGAGTTCCCAAGTTTAGCCCCATGGGGCCCAAAAGGATCTGAGATCGCTGCACATCAGAAGGCCCAGTAAGGCCCCAAGAGATCCCCAAGTACGACCCTGAAAGGGCCGTTCGAGCCGCCAAGAGGAGGGACCCCGACGTTTCGGGGCGAATGCTTCTTCCATCGTGGGGGTCGTCGTGCAGGGTCGGCGGCACCGGCCGTAAGGCCTTAGCAAAAAGGCCCAGTGAAGATGGTCCCTCGGGGGGCCACGTTGCCCGTTTCTCGGAGATTCCCCGGGTTCCTCCGGCAATGCCTAACAACGCGAAGCAATGCCAAGCAATGCCAAGCAATGCGACGTAATGCCAAGCAATGCCAAGAAAATGCGAAGCAATGCCAAGCAATGCCAACACAATGCCAAATAATGCCAATCAATGCCAAGCAATGCCAAACGCTGCCCCCATTTGCAATAGGAAGCTTTCCCGCAATCGGGGTCGCGCCAGGTCCATTCTCACAACGTCGACCCCCAGAGGTCTGGACCCCCTTCCCTGGGACGGGCTTTTCATCCAGAGTCATTGTTTGACGATTCTCAGAAGGCGGCGGGACTTCCCAGCCCTCGCGCCTTCTGAGAAATTGTCCTGTCTTCGGGGAAGGCTTAGAACACTTCTCAGATGGTCGGGGGACTTCCGAACCTTCCGAGAAGGCCTCTCCTCCTCCTCCTCCTCCTCCTCTCCTCCTCCTCCTCCTCCTCCTGCTCCTCCTCCTCCTCCTCCTCACTTCCCCCCAGGGCTCGCCGCCGAAAGGAGGAGGGAGCCTAAGACGTCTCGGGCCGAGCAGGCCTTCGCCGCCGGGGCCGCGCCAGATCGCCCGCCAGGGTGGCCTCCAAGACTGCCCGCGGTGGCCTCCAGGACTGCCCAGATACGGGGGGGGCATCGAGGAAGGAAGCCTTCGACAGGGAAGCCAGGGTCTGGAAGCCAGTGGAACTCCGATCGTGGATTGGCCATGGATATCACCGCCGCCTTCATCAGATAAGAAACCCTCCAGGGTCTGAAGCCTCCTGGGCACGTTCCTTAACCAATGCCCCCACCGTACCGTACATCGACAAAATGATGCATCACTTTAGGCGGGCCCTGGAGTGCGTGCTTCAACACTCCGTCCCCCCCTCCATCTGATATATTTGGGGGCATGCGAGGAGGAGCTGCTTGGAATTCCCCAGGCGATCGACAGAATGTTGCATCACCGAGCTGTCTCAGCGATCCCAGACCGTACCCAATATTAGATGGGGGAGGGGGGGAGTGAACACGAACATACACGAACTGTCGATGGTAAAGCAGCGTACGATGTCGTGGGCACAAGGTGGTGCAACATTTTGTCGATGTGCCGTATGGCTCCTACGTGGATGGCGCGAGATGGCCTCAGTACAGCCTACGAGGCTCCCAGCACGCTTCAAAAGGACACGGCGAGGGTACCCAAGAATACCCCAGGAGGCCAACGTCACGAAAACCCTTCAGGCCTGATGATTTCTGGATGCTCTCCACTCCGGGCTCAAGACCTCCCGAGGCTTTTTACTTAAGAGACCTCCCAGCCTGTCCCGAGAGGGCCCACGAGAGCACCAAGAGGGCCCCCCGAGGGCTCCAAAGCTGCCCAGTGGGGCCGCAGAACGGCCGAAGAGAGCCCGAAGACGGCCACCGAGAGCCAACAGCGAGGTCCGAGACGCTCACCGGGAGCCCTCCAAGACGGCCTCGAGGAGCTCCCGACGGCCCAGGAAAGCCCGACGACGGCCCACGAAGACCCGAGACTGCCCCCAAGAAGGCCTACGAGGGCCCCATCACAGCCCCGAGACAGCCCCGAGACGGCCCAAGACGGTCCCTCCAGGAGCGAGTTCGAATCTGTTCCGAAGACCTGCTGGGGTCACTTTGGAGCAGCTGCTGGGCCCGTGCAGCACCCAGTCGTCACAGCAGCAGCTCGAGGGGCCAGACTTCGACCACGGCCGAGCGGTTCCTGCGCTGGCGGCCAGACACGAGCGGCACGCGTCTGAACACGGGAGGCAGGTGGCGGCGGTGACTCGCCGCAGGCGCCTTCGATCCGCGAGCCCTGTCTGCCCAACAGAAAATCAGAGAATGGATGGATTCGGTTTGTGTTCGGGATTCGGGATTCAGCTGTTCGTGGGGCCAAGGAGGCCAGGCGGACAGCGACGACGACGACGACGACGACGACGACGACGACGAGGGCGACGAGGATGAGAGGGGGAGGAGGCAGCAGACGACGACGAGGGGGCGGAGGGCCAGCAACCCCTTCCGCCCTGTCGGCCCAGGCCAAGAGCGAGGCCAAGAGCAAGGTCCGGCAGGCACCTTTGAGGTGCTTTGCCGGGCCGACGCCTCCTGAGCTCCGGGCCCTCCCCGAAGAGCTCCCCACGGGCCCCTCGGCCCGCCCAAGCACTCGGACCCCAGGGGGAGTCCGCCGGCCTTCCCGGCCAGGGACGGCCCGCAGGACGCCTTCAGGTTCGCCCAGGACTTCTCCAAGAGCGGGCCCTCCACGGGTCTTCGGTGGCGACTCGTGGGAGCCTCCCACACCATCTTGTCGGCTCTTGCGAATCGACGCCAGCGGGATCCGGACAGATCCGGACAAGGAACCAGACAAAAGGGTCAGCCCCGGGAATCCCTAGGAATCCTTAGGAATCCATTCCCAGAACACCATTCCCAGGCCACATTTCGAATGCCCAGAGCCAACTGCAGGCCACTTCGTGTTCTGCGTGTTCCCAGAACACCATTCCCAGGCCACATTTTGAATGCCCGGAGCCAACTGCAGGCCACTTCGTGATCTTCGTGTTCCCAGAACACCATTCCCAGGCCACATTTCGATTGCCCGACGCCAACTGTGCGCCACTTCGTGATCTTCGTGTTCCCAAAGCACAAATCCTGTGCCATATTTTGGATGCCCGAGCTGAGGCAAGCTGAGGCCGAGGCAGGCTGAGGCTGAGGCTGATGCAGGCTGAGGCTGAGAGGCTGACGCTGAGGCTGAGGCAGGCTGAGGCTGAAGCTGAGGTCGAGGCAGGCTGAGGCTGAGGCTGAGGCAAGCCGAGGCAGGCTGAGGCTGAGGCTGAAGCTGAGGCAGGCTGAGGCTGAGGCTGAGGCAGTGGCTGAGGCTGAGGCCGAGGCAGGCTGAGGCTGAGAGGCTGACGCTGAGGCTGAGGCAGGCTGAGGCTGAGGCTGAGGCCGAGGCAGGCTGAGGCTGAGGCTGAGGCAAGCCGAGGCTGAGGCTGAGGCTGAGGCTGAGGCAGGCTGAGGCTGAGGCTGAGGCTGAGGCTGACTGAGGCTGAGGCTGAAGGCAGGCTGAGGCTGAGGCTGAGGCAGGCTGAGGCTGAGGCTGAGGCAGGCTGAGGCTGAGGCAGGCTGAGGCTGAGGCTGAGGCTGAGGCTGATGCTGAGGCAGGCTGAGGCTGAGACAGGCCGAGGCTGAGGCTGAGGCAGGCTGAGGCTGAGGCAGGCTGAGGCTGAGGCCGAGGCAGGCGAATCCTTCGGAATCCTTAGGATTCCCTAGGAATCCATAGGAATCCCCAGGAATCCTTAGGAATCAGGATTCCTAAGGATTCCAAGATTTCCTATGGATTCCTATGGATTCCTAAGGATGCCTAAGGATGCCTTAGGAATCCCTAGGAATCCTTAGGATTCCATTGGATCCTAAGGCCGTTGCCACTGCGACTGTCATTGCGAATGCGACTGCGACTGCGAGAACAGCAGAATTCTACAACTGGATTCTCACCTGAATTTTAAGGGGAATGCTTCCAGACATGCGTATACACATGGCTGTTGGGTTGCTTTGCCGGGATAATTTACATAACAGCGAAGACTGATAGGCTTCTAGTAAGCTCAAAAGAAAGCATCTTGACTCTTGACTCCCCAAGGGGGACTGGGCGGATGCCGGGAGATGCCGGGGAGAATCCGGGAAATCCGGGGACTCCCCAGGACTCCTATAGATTCCTATAGTTTCCTATGGATTCCTACAGGTTCTGTTCCCAGAACACCATTCCCAGGCCACATTTTGAATGCCCGGAGCCAACTGTAGGCCACTTCGTGTTCTTCGTGTTCCCAGAACACCATTCCCAGGCCACATTTTGAATGCCCGGAGCCAACTGTTGGCCACTTCGTGTTCTTCGTGCTCCCAGAACACCATTCCTGTACCATATTTTGAATGCCCGGAGCCAACTGTGGGCCACTTCGTGATCTTCGTGTTCCCAGAACACCAGTCCTGTGACATATTTTGAATGCCCGAGCTGAGGCAGGCTGAGGCTGAGGCAGGCTTGAATGCCCGAGCTGAGGCAGGCTGAGGCTGAGGCAGGCTGAGGCAGGCTGAGGCTGAGGCTGAGGCTGAGGCCTGAGGCAGGCGCCGAGGCAGGCTGAGGCTGAGGCTGGGCAGGCTGAGGCTGAGGCAGGCTGAGGCTGAGGCTGACGCAGGCTGAGGCCGAGGCAGGCTGAGGCTGAGGCCGAGGCAGGCTGAGGAGGCTGAGGCAGGCTGAGGCTGAGGCTGAGGCTGAGACTGAGGCTGAGGCTCAGGCAGGCTGAGGCTGAGGCTGAGGCTGAGGCTGAGGCAAGCCGAGGCAGGCTGAGGCTGAGAAGCTGAGGCAGGCTGAGGCTGAGGCTGAGGCTGTGGCGAGGCTGAGGCTGAGGCTGAGGCTGAGGCTGAGGCTGAGGCTGAGGCGAGGCAGGCTGAGGCTGAGGCCGAGGCAAGCCGAGGCAGGCTGAGGAGGCTGAGGCTGAGGCTGATGCTGAGGCAGGCTGAGGCTGAGACAGGCTGAGGCTGAGGCTGAGGCAGGCTGAGGCTGAGGCTGAGGCTGAGGCCGAGGCAGGCTCAGGCCGAGACAGGCTGAGGCTGAGACTGAGGCTGAGGCTGAGGATGAGGCCGAGGCAGGCCGAAGCTGAGACAAGGTGAGGCTGAATGGGGGGGGGGAAGGGGGGGGGAGGAGGGGAGGCTGAGCAGGCTGAGGCGAGGCAGGCTGAGGCCGAGGCAGGCTGAGGCTGAGGCTGAGGCAAGCCGAGGAGGCTGAGGCTGAGGCTGAGGCTGAGGCCTGAGGCAGGCTGAGGCTGAGGCTGAGGCTGAGCAGGCTGAGGCTGAGGCTGAGGCTGAGGAGGCAGGCTGAGGCTGAGGCCGAGGCAGGCTGAGGCTGAGGCTGAGGCAAGCCGAGGCAGGCTGAGGCTGAGGCTGAAACTGAGGCAGGCTGAGGCATCCGTAGGAATCCTTAGGACTCCGTAGGAATCATAGGAATCCTTGGGAATCCGTAGGCATCCTTGGGAATCCGTAGGCATAGTTAAGCATCATCAGGAATCCTTAGGAATCCTTAGGATTCCCTAGGAATCCTTAGGAATCCCCAGGAATCCCTAGGAATCAGGATTCCTAAGGTTTCCTAAGGATTCCTATGGATTCCTAAGGATGCCTAAGGATGCCTTAGGAATCCCTAGGAATCCTTAGGATTCCATTGGATCCTAAGGTTATGATGTGTGGCTGCGCTAAACTCTAGAAGCGCCCATAAATGAGGATTTGCTCTTAAAATGCTCGCACCGCGTATTTTCAACATGCTCTTAAAATGAAGCAAACATGATGTTAAAATGATACGCGCAACATGCACGCCGTGCAGCGCGCGACAACTATACATATGGCACATCCGTGTGACAATATGCACGCCTCTGCCACAGAAAACGCGATGTCCCCCCCGCCAGACGGGGCTGATGACCTAGGGCCACTGCGGCGACTGGAGGAGCACGAGGAGGGCCGAGGAGGAGGAGGAGGGAAGGAGGAAAAGGAGGGATAGGGTGGACGATGAGGAAATATGACGGCGAAGAAGAGGAAAAAGAGGGGGAGGAGGAGGCCCTCACAACCCACGTCATCACCAATGCTATTCCTTCTCGTCCTGATCCCGTCTTCCCTCCACCCCCCCTCGCGGGCCCTTCCGCCCCCCCCCTCTCGGCGGGCTGCGCGAGGGGGCGCCGCGAGACGGGAGGCGCGGGAAGGCACGGCGCGGCGCCGTCGGCCTGGTCCTTCTCGTAGGACCCGCCCGCGGCCCGCCGACGGGGCGGGTGGCAGAGGGGAGGGGTGGAAGTTAGAGAGAGAGCACGGTGCACGTATCCCAGCGGGCAGGCTAGGAGGAGGGTGGACCAGGGACGCAGGGCAAAGGACGGCGGCCAGGGCCCAGGAAACGCAGAACATACAAGAGCAAGCGGCACTGGACAGGACAATAAAGGACATGCGAGGAGTCGGAACAGCGACGACGCAGACGAAATGAGTGGTGCAAGTTGGGGCCGAACACTCGTGTAGGGATGGCGCTCGTGGGCAGCGGGGGCTCCCATCAGCGAAGCAACTTTGGCCACCACCACTTGGCAGGCCAAAACAGCAACTTTGGCCACCACCACCTGGCAGGCCAAAACAGACAGAGAGAGACGACGGAGGAGGATGGGTGGGCAGGAGAGGGGGGGGAAGAGGGGCAGTGCGGCGACGTTGAAACGGTGGCTACGGAGGGGGGGCGGAAGGGGGAGGGGCGAGGAAGGACGAGGACGCAAGGAGGGGACGGAAAGGGTGCAGGGAGTGAGGATGGCGGAGAGAGGAGCAATGGTCGTGGATCGTGCGCCTCATTTTCACCATCTCTCTCGCGCGGGTTCCGAACCAAAAGGTGTGTTTACATTTGTTTCTACCGCGCTCGATTCGCTCTCGACGAGCTGCCATTGCAACATCACATGCCGTCGAAGTGAGACCCCCCGCCCCTTCTTGGACAACCCTGGCCCTTTCCCCCACATCGGCCCTGGCCCCCATCGATGGTGAGCAGTTTCGTTGCGGGGGGGGGCGCCGCCCTTCCCGCCCCCGATCTCCAACCCCCTCCACTCCCTTTAATTCCCCTCGCCCCGTGGGATCTATGTACACTGGGCTGTGACCTCCCGCACTGCTGGCACTCGGAGGGGTTCGCAGCTCTTGCGAGGGAGCCGCTCTCTGGAATAGGTGCGTGAGGCAGGCCTCACGCCTATTCAAGATCAATCCTGAGCTATCGGACTCAGTGCCTACCTAATACTTGAGCCGAAGCGCTGCCCTGAAAGAGGCGCACAAAAATGTCTGGATCGAATCGGGGCCGATCTCATACTTGCGAAGGAGGCCCTGGTGCTCGAGCAACTTCGCGCGCAAGCCGACTTTGTCGTCTTTCAGCGCGGGGTCCAGGAAGGCAGCCATCATACGAGAAGAGACGGACGCAATCGCGACGCTAAGTGTATTGGCCTTGACGCGCTCCCCGAAGTCGCTGTCCACTTTCAAATTCCACGAGGCGGCTTTGTCCGCGTACTTGTCCAGAGCCTTCCAGGGCAGGGGGCGGGGGAGGGAGGGGGGGAAGTCGAGGAGGGGGAAGGCGAGGAGGGAGAGGGCGAGGAGGGGGAGGGGGGAGGTCAGGAGTCGGAGGGCGAGGAGGGGGAGGGAGAGGGCGAGGATGGGGGAGGGGGAGGGAGAGGGCCAGCGCGCACAGACGGGCGTAAGCACCTAAAAAGCGGGAGCCACGGAGTTCCCAAGTTTTCGCCGTGACAAGCCCGCGGAGACGGGCAGCACCGGTTTGAGGCAGAGGCGCGGCACGACTCGAGAAATGAAAGAGAGGAGGGCAGGCCGAAGGCTCCTTCACCTCTTTGCTCCTTTTCTCCTCATCATCCCCAGCTCGTCCGCCCTTTCCTCGTCGCAATCCTGCTCGTGGCCTCGCCTCCCTCATCGTCTTACTCCCCCCAGCCCCCTCCCACTCCTCCCTCCCCCCCCCATCCCCTCCCTTCCCGCCGTCCTCCTTCCTCCCTCATCCCTCCCAGTTGCCAGTCGGTCCTCGTGGATCTTGTCGATGTCCTGGAGCCACCGACGACCTGGAAGCTGAATGAAGTCGCCGTCGGCCAGCTTCATCGTGTCCTCCCAGTTCTCGGCGCCTGCCGCGTTGGTCATCCACGTCCGAACGCTCGCCTCGGCGTCCACCGCCTCGAACAACTTCGTGCTCATGGTGGCCACGGAAACCTTCATCTCCTCGAGTCGCGCCACCGCGAGCTGCTCCGTGAGACGATCGGCCTCGTCCGACGTCACAGCAACGATGTCTTTGACGCGCTGCACCAGCGGATCCTTGCTGGGATGTTTCGTGACCGCGCTGGTGTAGCGCTGCATCGCGTCGATCACCTTGTTCGTCTTGCTCTCGTGCGGGTCGTTCTTGATAATGGCATCGGTCATGGGGTCCTGGCCCTTCAGAGCGCCCAGAGCGGTGCGAAGCTGCATGCCGTGGCGCATCAGCTCAGACGCGATCTTCATTGGGGCCTTCTCCTCAGTCGGATGGAGAACGTTCGCGAGCAGGCCCAGCAGCGTGACCTCCTCGGCCAGGCTAGCGGACGTGAGGTCCTGGACAGTAGGCCTTTCGAAGATCATCTGCCATACGTCAACCGCCTTCTCCTTCAAACCCATGTCGTTGCAGTCGTTGCACTCACGCAGACACTCCGTGAGCACGTGGAGCTCCTGCGAGGAGCCGTCCACGAAGTCGGACAGGCGGTCGAACAGAACCTTCATCTTGCTCTCCTTGTCTGCGTGGAGCGCCTTGGCCTTCAAGTCGCAGACGATCCTGTGGAAGTGCTCGCCGTTCCTCAGGATGGTGGCGGCGTTTGTCATCATCTTCTTGAGGCTCAGCAAGTTATTGTAGTAGCTCTGGCGATCCGAATCGCTCATGCTCTCGGTCTTGGCCTCGAGCTCCAAGGCAGCCCTCTCCTGGAGCTGCTTGCCGATGTGCCCGTCGAGCTCGTCGACGGCCTCGCTCCCCACGGACGCGACGTAGTACGGCAGACGGTGCAAGAGCCCCTCGGCCTCATTCAAGAAGTTGCCAATCTCGTAGCCGCCGAGCTTCTTCGCAAGCCTCATATCCTTGGACACGCTGGGCGCATGCTGCTTCAGCGCCTTCACGTTGCGACACGCCTCGGTCAGCATTTCAAGCCAGTGAGGGGCCTGCGTGAGGGCCTGACCGACTTGCACCCACTCGTCGCGCTGCGCTCCACCCTTGCTGCCACAATCCTCTAGCTTGACCATGTCGTCCAAGACCTGGATGCCGAAGTCTTCCGATATCGTTTTGTTGCTGAGCGCGAGCACGGCGGTGAAGATGCGGGTAGTAGTGAGCAGGGCGGCGGCCACCTCGTTGGATACAGTCACGTCCTCTGGCAGCTCGTACATGATGGTGATGCCCTCCATAAAAGAACGGGCCTGGTGCTCCTTCGGCGCCCCCTGGAGGAGCATGGGAATGAGCCTCGTGACGACGACCTGCTCGGAGAAGTAGTCGGCCACGCCCTCTGCGCTCAAGTCACAGCTGATAAGAGTGGGGCTCCTGCTCGCGAAGTCGGGCCTCGTCGTGCCATCCGCCCACACAGACAACGTCCTAGAGAAGCTAGTCATGTCCTTGAAGGGCCGCTCGTCGGGATTCCACGAATCGAAGCAAGCGTCCAGGGCTGCACTCACGAGCTTTAGCTGGATCTCTGATGGCAGCTTCACTTTGTTCTTCTCAAGTTTTGCCAAGGCTGCATCCCGATCGGCCCCCTTGAGGGTATGGTTCGCAACCTCCTTGGCGATGCGGAAGAGCTCCAAGTGAGCACGAATCATGGGTGCTTTCCCAGCTGGCACTTTGGGAAGTAGCTGCTCCAGCTGATAAGCCTCCTTCCCCAACTTCGCCCCCCTGAGGACCTGCACGATGGAGATCTTCGCGATCCAGAACTCAGGCGTCCCAGACTGCAGCCCGTCGGTCGGGTTCTGGCTCGAGGCGTTCGGCGCAGGCGTCTCCCCCAACCCAGGGTGATCTTCCACGCGCGCTCGCTTGAGCGGGCGGTCCTGTATTGAGGCCGGAGTGAGCGGCGACGACGGCCCATCCCCGTCGCGAATGGTAGGCGGGCTGTCAATCGGTTCGCCAGCTCCACTTGTTGCCGTGACGCTGCCGTCCTCCAAAGCGAGGTGCACGCCGTGAGGTGAACCAGGCAGGGATGCCAACGGCGTGTGTGGGTGTGGGTCGTCGGCCCTGCGACCGCTGCGATCGCGGACCGCGCCGTCAGCCGCAGGTTGCTCACGGCGAGCGCCCAGCAGGTTATACACGCATGCGTAGCCGCCCTTTTTGATTGCCCGATCGGAGACCTCTTGGAGCGTGGGCACGCGCCCCAAGGTAGAAGTGCTCGCAGAGCCACCCGCGTCGACGATCTGCTTAAGCAGCCTCTCGGCGTGATCCTCGAACTGCGCCTTGCCCTCCTTCATGTAGTTCCTGGTGGCGTAGTCGGTGGCCTCGCTCACGAAACGAATCGTCCTCGGCTGGACCTCGCCCAACTGCATGGGGTATAGCTCCTCCACGCCATGACGAGTGTAACACTCGACCGACTTGAGAGAGAGCTGCTTCGGCGTCTTGCCGAAGCCCGTGACCACTTGAGAGGAAGTCATGGCGGGCATCTCCTCCACGACCTGGATTTTGATTCTGGTCTCAGAACCCGCTGCCATCATGTACGGCGCCTTGTCCCCGCCAGACGCGTGCACCTCGAAGCCCTCGGTGACCTCGTCCGCGAACACAGGGTCGTCCGAGTTCTGCTTGCAGACCTCGGAGAAGTCCAGGAGCGGGTACGTGTTCCCCGCCCACTCGATGCAACTCTCGCAGCCGTGCACCGCGTAGCTGCTGTCCTCTGGGTGCGTGTACAGCTTATCTGAGACCTTGGCGTCCTTCGGAGCGCCGCCGAAAACATGTAAATGGCAGGGGGAAAATTTGGGCTGGCGGCAAAAAAAAGGAGGGGAGGAGCGGATGGTAGTGGGGAATGACGAGGATGAAGAGCAAGAAGATAGGAGGGATACGGCGGAGGTGGGGGGCTATGGGTGAGGACGGAAGGGTAAGAAGGGCGAGGGGAGGAGGGACAGAAGTCCAGATGTTATTTGAACGTTCAAATAGCACCCACGTGGCTTCTCCCCTCGTTTTGCTAGGTCTCTCCCCCCAGAGCAGGGGGAGACAAGGTAAACTATTTCCCCCGTGTCCCCCGCGCCAGATTTCCGAGCGGTGTTTCACGGCATAAATTTCGTTGGATTCGAATCCAACGAAATTCAAGATGAGGGGGGGTAGGAGGTAGCGGAGCGGAGGGGGGGGGGAAGGGGAATGGGGGGGAGCTTTCGTTTTAAGGACTTCGGTCCCTCTCATTGGACTCGCAGAGGCCGCAGCAGCGGAGGACGCCCTTCTTTCTCGTGCCAGCCCCAGCGTTGGGCGCGGCCTTGGCGGCTTTCCCCCCAGTGTTGACCATGGCGAGCAAGCTGAAACACGTGGTTGTCGGCCCTGGCGAAGCGAATGCGTGCGAAGGCGAAGCTCGATGCTTGAACCTATATGGCTACGGAGCCGGAGCGCGACCGTGGTTTCGAATGCTCAGGCGTTGCCATGACGACGCCAATATTTTTGGCCGTAGGGGGAGAGGGGAGAGGATTGGGATCTCCCTAAGAATGCCAAATCGCGCCCTCCCCCCGTCCCCCCGCCCCCCGCCTCTCCAAGGGTGGGGGGAGGGGGGAGGTAACGTTTTGGCATTCCTGGATTCCCTGCTTAACAGTTTCGCTTTCCCCATCTGCCCGCCGCCCCCTCAGCGCTGCACAGGACAGGCCGACGGCGTCGTCTACCAGAAAGGGGGGGCGGCTGCGCTGGGGGGTTGAACAGCGAGCACGGGCCACGGATCACGAGGGCGGACGCGGGATGAGATGAGGAGGAGCGGGCAGCATGCCCGATGAGGCCCCGAGAGGGTAGAGGGGATGAGGACGGAGGTGGAGGAAGAGGAACGACAGGGATGCATCCCCCGACAAAGGGTGCGCGAAAGACGCACCAGTCGACCGTCTCCCAGACGAGGCCCCCCCTCCCCAAAAACTGCTCCCCTCGAGCAGTCCCCCAAGATCAGGTGTTCCAAAGATGCTCCCCCCGAGCATTCCCCTCGAACCAGCTGCCCCAAAGATGCCCCAGCCGAGCATTTCGCCGAGAGGCTAATTCCTGGGGGGGCAAAAAAATACCAAAAAAATACTAAAAAAATGCTAAAAAAATGCTCCAAAAATGCTCCCCCCCCGAGGAAATGCTCCAAAAATGCTCCAGCTCGATCCCCCCTGCCCCCAGATGCTCTGGGAAATGCTCTGGCCCTTGGCTCCATTTCGGGAAATGCTCCAGAAGATGATCCCCCCAGGCCCTCGGCTTCGGAAGATGCTCCGAGGGATGCTCTCCAGCGGGCGCGACACCGCAAGCATGGTCCCCACGTGCACTCAAGCCTGAGTGACACATCGCGCAGAGCAATAAGGCCAGCTGGCGATTGCACCTGGCAGAAAAATAACATGCAGAGCCTACGAAGTTCGGGGTGGGGCGGAGTTGAGTTTCTTAGAAGGGAAGGAGGGGTGGTCGGACATCAGGGTGGGATCTCTGGTTCGTCGTCTGGCTCAGTTGGAAACTTACCCCGCTCCTTTGTGAGCAGGAGGGCTGCAGCAGGATTAGTTAGAGCCATCTCGACCAGCCTGTCCCTAGCCCTCTTGCGCTCCTCGAAGGTCGGAACCCAGCCCTGGTGAAGATATCCGTCAGCGTGGTCCTGTCTCAGGAGCCACGCAATCATTAAACCTAAAGGCCGCCCCTGGGAAGGTTTAGTTTTTGAAAACCGCTCTGATTCGTGCGACTTCCTAGTAATCCTACAACGTCCGTGCTTCGCCTTGCATCCACAAGTGGCTTCAAATTGCCGCCAAGGGTACCAAACTACCTTACCGCCGTTCTCTAAACGCAGTGTGACGCTTTCCTCGCCCTTCTCATTTAGCGAGACGCGGGGACGTGCTGGCGGAGGGGGCGGCGGCGCTGGCTCACGGGCGCCGCCATCCGCATCTGGGTCATCGGCTCCAAGTGGGCCATCAGGCTTGGCGCCAGCTACCGCAGGGGGCTCAACATCCGAGTCAATCTCAGCTGGCAGCACCCCCAATACGTCCCCGAATAAGTTACCGTCGTCGCCCCCGCCGCCACCTACGGCGTCACCTCCCAGAGGGTGCTCCTCATCCTCGCCCTCCCCTGCGGCGCCGAAGTCGTCCACGTCGATGCCGCCTGCTGCGAGGATGTCCTATGCACGGGCAGGAGGAGGGGGGAGGAAGTTAAGAGAGGTTTGCAAACGTGATGGGGAGCACTCGCAGTGGGGTAATTCATGTTCGGCGGGTTGAGGGGACAAGCAGGGACAGCTGTAGCACAAGGGCAACTCAACCATCAGAGAGAGCAGCATAGCAGCTAACGACAAAGCAAAGATGGGGGCAGAAGGGGTCCAGATCATCGCCCAAAGGGTCATCTGCACCAGCCTCAGGGTCGTCCCAAGGGTCGCCCTCCGAGACGATCGCCTCGGCCTCGTCTGGCTCGACGCCCCCCTCGGCCTCACCTCCAACCTCGTCGCCGTCGTCGCCAGGGTGATCGTCGTCAGGGGGGGCATCGACGATGGCAAGGGGGCCCTCGCCAGCGACCCCTCGGCCACGAGCTCCCCCTCCGCCTGGGCCCTGTGGACCTCCGCCTTCGCCACGTCCAGACCCCCGCTTGGCCCCTCCAGCTCCCCGACGGCCCCCAGCGCCACGACGTCTGACTATCGGCCACAGGCTATGGGTACCTAGTGGGGGTAGCGCCTGAACCAGCACGAGCTTCGGTGTGATTTCGGTCAGCCGACGCGAGTGCATGCAAACCGAGAAGAACTCACACTGAATGTCGTGTGTCTCCAAGTCGAGAATCGGTGCCGACAGCGCTTCGAAGAGCGAGCCAATCTGGCAAGTGGCCTGGGTTCGGGGGGCTCGTGAAAACACGCGACCGACAAGGATGAGAGTGATGGGCGGGGATATGGGAGGGAGGAGCATAGGGGAGGGCGAGGTGGAGGGAGGGATGACGAGGCTGCAAAAGGGAAGGTGCGGAGCGGGGGAGCAAGGGGCCAGTCGACGAGCATGATGATCATGAGGATAAGCAGGGGATGGGGGGGAGGAGGAGAAAGACGAGTAGTGAAAGGGTGCATTCCCTCTGTTTAACCGCAGAAAACCGTGGCTCAAGACTCGCTGTTCGTATTCCAGAATCAAAATTATTCCTGAAGAATATGACACCTTGGCTCCCCAGGATCCCGAGCTGTAAAAAATGCCAGCTCGGCGATTGTTCAAAATTGTTGGCAGGTGCGTGGAGGGGGGCCCTGGGCACCTTGAGAGCTATCTCGTCATCGCCAACTCCTGCCTGGATTGACTCTGCCTCCGTCGTCGGAAGCATGCGCTGCATCTCGAAAACGTATGGGCGGAACATGTTGTCACTGATGTGAAAGAATATCTCATTCGCGCCCCCCCAGAAGTCCAACAAGTCCTGATCCGCGCCCATGGGGGTGGAAATGAACTTCACGACGATGCGGCCTCCTGCCAACAAAGACCTCTCACGGGAATCTCTGCTGAATCGTCTCTTCGCTTCTCGGAGAAAACTGTTGCGGAAACTCCAGAGACGCTGTCCACGAGGCGAGCAGAAGCACATGCCATACTTAAAACAGTCCGAGGTGGCCTGCGGGTCCTTGTCAGGGCCATCATCACGAACAAGTTTATGGTCACCTGGGCAAGCGCGGTTGGGCAACACACGTTTTGAAAAAGATGTCAAGATGATGACACAAGAGGGAACTATGAGTGGGAAAGATGAGTCAGCGGGGGGGGTGCTGGTTGTTTAAGCCAGTGGCCTCGAAGGAGCGTGTGCAAGTGCGACCATGCAGAGCACAACGTGGTCTCCATGTTCCCCTTGTGCTTGGCCATCTGCTCCTCGGCCCAGCACTTCAACTCGTCGGCCTGCTGGGCCAGGGAGGCCATCTTGAACTCCAACACAGGCATGCCATACACAGGAGCCTGGAGAGAGAAATGCGCTGAATGCTCAGCAATGCGAGGGTGCTGCTGGACGACTTTCTTCACCACGTGTTCCACATTCTCCGTGCTGTACTTCGCGATCGCATTGGCGTCATCCCTCTCTTGTTTCCTCTCTGACTCCACGCGCAGTCGATCGAGCCTCCTCGCTCTTGCAGCAGCGTCTGCGGGCGATAGCTCCAGGTTGGCTGCTTCGTCGAGCAGCTGCTCGATCTGGTCGTTGTAGTCCTCGACCCCCTTCAGGTTCTGCAAGCGTTGGGATATGTTCCTTGACTTGACAATCTTATCCACATCAGCTGCCCGAGGCCCGAAGGACGTCTCATTCGCTGGAACCCCTGCCTGTGCATTTCGAGTTGCTTCGGCCCCAAGTCGACGGCATTGCTGCATCTCCTCCGAGTCTGGGTCCAACGACCGATACTGCGCACCGATGACAGCGAGGTCGTTGCTGCGCTGCATGCGAACATATGCCCGCCAAGCGCCGCCCGAGGATTTCTTTTTCTCTGGTTGCTGGGCGTTGCCCGCAGCGCTGGCTGTGGCCCCGCCGTCGGGCGTTGCACCCTGGCCCTGGCAATCCTGTTTGAATAACTTGCTCATCCATCTCGAACTGAGGCCCTCGACGTCGATCGAGTGGGTCTGGACCCGTGACTTGATCCACCTCCTGATGTGGGAGTGGCCGACCTCGACTTGGCTCGTGTCGGAGAATACCAACAAGGCAAGAAGGATAAGCTTGGCTTTCGTCTTGGGGTCGCTGAGGTCGTTCTCGTCGCAGAAACGGGCTGACCAAGGGTCCATCACGCACCTGGGCGTGCATGCAATGTCGGCTGCCAGCCCAGGATTCTCTATGAGAGAGAACAGACGCCAAGGAAAACCCGTGTGGGGCCGCGTGAGCTCGCGGTCCATCGAAGCCGCAGCTTTCGAAATCATGATGAAGGCAGTGGCTCGGACCTTGTTTGTCATATCTTCCTCTGGGACGAGGCTCCACAAGGTACTGTTCGTCATCAGCACCCAAAAGTTTGCCAAGGCACGCGCTTCCAACTCACACCGCGCGGCCACGAGCACGCGGAAGTCCCTGCCACAGGCCGCCTCCGCAGCGGGCTCAGCCGACGTCTCGCTGGATTCTGCGGCCCGTTTGACTGAGACTGCTTGCTGGCGCCTGTCCCATGCCTTAGACGATACGTGCAATTGTTTCTTCAGCAGCTGCTGTAGGGGGGCCACCACGTTCCGCATCAAAATCAAGCAGGTCAGGAGTGTAGGCGATTGCCCTCGAACCCAATCTCGCGCAATCCTGCGGTTGCGGGCATGCTCCTTGGCGTAAGAAGAAGCCCCATCAGCTCCATCTGCATCAGCCCCTCCACCAACTGCTGCTGGAGCATTGCTGAGAGCACCTCCAGCTGCTCGTTGACCGTCATGGGCGGGGCCACTGGGATCTCTGCCGCCTGTGTCGCGGTTGGCAAGCGCGAAACGTTCGCACCACATCTCGTAGGCTGGCTTAAGGAGGCCGTGGCAGACCTCCACGACCCCTAGATCGCAGATTGCTTCCTCGACCCCTGTCCAGCGGGATCTACAGTACACTCGGAAGCGACGGTAAGCGATCGCTGCGACCAAAGCGTCAGTAAAATTCTCACTCAGTACTGCTTTGTCAACTGCTTCGACTTCAGTGGCCGAGTAGATGATGATGCGGTCGTGGTTTCTCCAATCGCCATTTGGGAGCATGTGCAAGAGAGTCCTGCGAACAGCTGCTTGCCCACCTCCTGGGATAAATGTTCGCAAAGCCAATCGCCTGTAGCACTCCGCGTCCGCTCCAGCAGCGCCGACTTCGAACCGCAGGCGATCTTTGATGATGTCCCTCAAGCAAGTGCGAAACTCTGCCATTGAGCCCGCTGTGGCCAAGCTCAACGAGAGGTTGATGAGGCCGCTAACCGAACCCTCCATGGGATGCAACGCCCGCTTGTGGCAACCGAAGCTCTTGTGCACCTCGCAGCCGATGTGTAAACACGACCAAGTCGCACCCCTCTGGATCCTCATTGACCGCTCAGCTGCAAAGTTTGCACCGTGCCTGTCTGTCATTACCAACCTGACGGGGGACTCAGCAGATGATTCCGCCATGGTGGCACACTCGCCCTCCCTCAAGGCCTGCTCGGTGCACTCGGCGGACGTGGTCCGCATAGACTGCAGATGGTTCGTCGACTTGCCTACCACCGCCACGCGCTGAAGGACGCCACACGGGAGCCTGGCTGAGAGAATGACACCCCACGTTGATACGGTCTGGAGCAGCTTCACTGTCGACGTGGAACTTTTATCTGGTAGGAGGGTGCTGCTCTTGACGATATGTTGTCCGTCTCTGTCTCGCTTGGATGGGCATTTTCGGACTTGGGAGTCCTTGACTCTGGCTGGCATCGGGGTCTCATCGTAACAAACTGCGTCCACGACCATTTCCACCTTGCGATTCGGATCAGCTCGATAAGCGCAAGCCGCCATGAATGAACGCCGCATGATTCGGTCCAAGAACCAACAAGATACTGCAAGTCTCTGTAACTCGGTCTCCAACTTCCAACGGGTGACGCCCAGACGGGTTGCCTTTTGTTGCAGAGTCTCCCTGGCACCTACGAGAGCCCCGGCGAAGTAGTCCTTTGCAACGGGACCCATCACGTGCGGCTGTTGCGGCACAGACATCCGCCCCTTGGCCTGCTGAACCCAATCCAACAACTTCGAACTCACCAAGGGCAACTTGGGGCGCTGGAAATCTTGCAAGGCGGATGCGGGGACAACCAGCTTTGCGTTTCTGTGGCTCAAGGCGAGCTGGTAAGTGCTCGGAGTGGCTTGGGCGAGCTTTCGCTGTCGAGCCTCGGCGCCCAGCCTGCGGACCTCTGCCATCCGCTCAGGCGGCTGGCCCCGCTTCGGGCGGTCAGCCATTCTAGGTTCACGGCGGGTGCACCGTTGAGAGCAAGAAACCTTGGGCCCAAATGGCCACTGGCATGACGGTGACGTGGGCGACTCTGGCGTCCGCTGAAAAAACGTATGGGCGAGGGGGAGTGGACGGAAGAGCTCGAGAACGAATAAGGGGCAATGAGACACGGGAGAGAGACGAGGTGGAGTATGAGGAAAATAAGTCCTGAGGAGGTGCAATAAGATGAGGAGGAGGAGGAGGATGCAGAGCGGGGGGGGGGGCCACTTACCCGCGAGCTCGGTTCGACTGTGAACGGTGTATCCTGTTGGCGGTTGCGCTCTCCCCGTCTAATCCTCCCCCCCTCTCTCCTTCGATCCCACCGTCCATCCCCTTCCTCTCCCTCCATCCTCTCATATCCTCCCTCCCTCTCCCCGTGCGCACCCACGGTCTCATCCTCGTCATTTATCATCTCTCCTATCTCCTCATGGTATTCGTTCTCGGCGTCGCTACCGTGCTTTCACTGGCAGTAGTGGTTTAGTTTTTGGTTTGGCCTGCACGATCGGGGCCACCGCGGTCGCATCAACAAGTTGTTGTCGAGAGAACTGTTGCTACGCATTGGGGGGGCGCCCCTCAAAGCAGTACTCAAAGACACCCTGTGGAAGCAATTGCCCTTCAAACATTTACATGGAAGTGCTTTTCCAAAATATGCCATCTCATTTTCGATGCATTTTCGGAGCATCTACTCAAACCTGCCCAGAAGCATTTTTTGATCATTTCGGCCCTTTCTGGGGGATCTAGAGTTTAGCGGACCCGCACTTCATAATCCTAAGGCCGTTGCCACTGCGACTGTCATTGCGAATGCGACTGCGACTGCGAGAACAGCAGAATTCTACAACTGGATTCTCACCTGACTTTTAAGGGGAATGCTTCCAGACATGCGTATACACATGGCTGTTGGGTTGCTTTGGCGGGACAGGCCAGGGAGGGCCCCCTCGGCTCGCCGCGCCACTCTGGGGAGCCGCCCGGGGGGGGCCTCTCCCTTGGCCTCGAGCGCGGCGTGCTCTCCGCGAAGGCCTCCTGGGCCTCCCCTGGGCAGGAGGAGGAGGAGGAGAAGGAGGAGGAGGAGCCGAAGGGGGAGGAGGAGGGGGAGGGGGAGGAGGAGAGGAGGAGGAGGAGGAGGAGGAGGAGGAGGAGGAGAGGAGAGGGAGGAGGAGAAGGAGGAGAAGGAGGAGGGAGGAGGAGGAGGAGGAGGAGGAAGGTGGAGGAGGAGGAAGAGGAGGAGGAGGGAGGAGGAGGAGGAGGCGGAGGAGGGGCAGGAGGAGGAGGAGGAGGAGGAGGAGGGAGGAGGAGGAGGGAGGAGGAGGAGGAGGCGGAGGAGGAGGGAGGAGGAGGAGGAGAGAGGAGGAGGAGGAGGAGAGGGGGAGGAGGGGAGGAGAGAGGAGGAGGAGGGAGGAGGAGGGGAGGGAGGGAGGGAGGGGAGGGAGGGAGGGAGGGAGGGAGGGAGGGAGGGAGGAGGGAGGAGGAGGAGGAGGAGGAGGAGGAGGAGGAGGAGGAGGAGGAGGAGGAGGAGGGGGAGGAGGGGTGGAGAAGGAGGAGGAGGAGCAGGAGGATGCGCACCGTCTCGGGCGAGGGACACTTTTTGGCGGCACCCGCTCTCGGAGCGGGGCGAGCTGAGAGAGCGGCAGCTCAAGATCGCCGCCCCGGACCCCTCCCTGGGTTTGGGGTCGGGCCTGTCCTCCTACAGGCGGGCTCTGGGAGAAAAATGAAATCGTAGTCAGAAAGTATCCAAGCAGTAACCAAACAGCTGCTTGAAACATCGCCCCCGGACCACTGTGCTTACTATATATGAATATTCCTCCTGCAGCGGGACACGCCCGACTGAACCCTGGGCCCACAAAGCGCACCAGCTCTCCGAGAGCTGCGCCCAGCCGCGGCGACGCGGGCCCCCCCGAAGGCCGACTGCCGCTGCCTGAGCTTGCCTTCCTCTCGGTGGCGAGCCGAAGGGGGGGGGTGAGAAGGGGCGGGCCTTCTCAGGAGGCTCGGAAGTCCCCCGGCCTTCTGAGAAGCTTCCGGGGCCTTCCCCGAAGACACGTATATCATAATTTCTCGGAGGGCGCGGGGGCTTCTGAGCAGCCCCGCCGCCTTCCGAGGAGGCCTCCTCCTTCCCGCCTCCACCCCCTCGCTCGCCGCCGAGTCCCAGCTTGCCCTCCTCTGCCGGTCGGCGCGGGGGCTGGGGAAATCAGAAGGCACCGATACTGCTACTCCCTGGACCTATCCCAGGGTGCGTTCTGACCAGAATTTCGAGGCGAATCCAGCGGTGGCGACGAGGGCCTCCCAGGAGGCCCAAAAAGGGGAAAACGGGCGAAGGGTGGTGGTATGGGTACTCTGGGTTTCTTAATAAGCGTGGGGGGGTACCCCCTCCGACGGGGGTCAACCTCGCCTCGTCGTCGCGCCGCGACGGGGGTCGGGGCGCCTCCGGCGCGCGGTGGCTGCCCGCGACGAGGGTCGATGTGGGGCTGTCGGCGGGGGTGACGCCCCCCCGACGCTTGTCAAGAGCCTCGGAGTACCCTTTCCTTTTCCGAGGGGCGGGGGCGGCGGCGGTGGCCCGCCGCAAGGCGCGGCCGATGACCACCCCGCACTGCTCGGCGAGCGCCAGGAACCGCCGCTGGGGGCCGCCGCCGCCGCCCTCCGAGACCCGCCGCCCGCGGGCGCGGCTGGAGGGTGGCGCGCCCGCCGCGGCAGGCCCCGCGGCCGCCGCGGCCCTGGACACCTCCTCGAGCGCCTGTTTGGACTCCCTCCTCCTCCTGCTTCTCCTCCTGCTCCTGCTCCTGCTCCTGCTCCTGCTCCTGCTCCTGCTCCTGCTCCTGCTCCTGCTCCTGCTCCTCCTCCTCCTCCTCCTCCTCCTCCTCCTCCTCCTCCTCCTCCTCCTCCTCCTCCTCCTCCTCCCCCAGACCACCCCAACCCAACCTTCGGTGGCAACTCATGGGAGCCTCCCATACCATCTTGTCGGCTCTTGCGAATCGACGCCAGTCGACGCCAAATCGACACTCGTCAACGTTACATCGACACGAATCGACGCTAGCCAGCGCTAAATTGGCGCTATCTCATCGACTGCCAGACACTAATTTACGCCAGTCGACGCTAAAGACGGAATTCAGAGGGTGTACCAAGCTCCCACGATTTGCTACCGAAAACGTGTATTAAGGGCGGGTGGTCAGGACGCAAGACCCTTGGAGGCCGAAATTGGGCTCTTTGGGGCGGCGGGCGACAAGTCAAACCAGCAAAGGGCGGGCTGCAGAGGCAAGGACACAAGGGCACCCTAAATGCAAGCGCGCGTCCTGACTAAGCGCGTTGACAATACGGAAAGTGGCTGTCACAAAAACCGTGTAAATGTCATAAAAAAGCGTGTGCTGTTTGATGTCATCAAAAAGACGTGTGATGCTCATCCGCTGTCATAAAAAAGTGTGATGTTCCATGTGACGGGCGCAATGCCCAGCAACAAACATGTTATGTTCATCGACTGTCATAAAATTAGCCTGACGAACGACCCAACCATGAACAATTGTGGATACCGCGTTCTGGGTCCATCGTTCGACGGGCCTCCCTGTGGGGCCACGAACCGTGTGAGGGGTGTGCCGAAATGGGCGGGGAACCGCATGCGAACTTTGCAATTGAGACCACGAATCGTGTGAGGAGTGTGCCGAAATGGGCGGGGAACCGCACGCGAACTTTGCCACTGAGGCCTTCGGCGAAGCTCCCTGTGGGGCCACGAACTGTGTGAGAGGCATGCCGAAATGGGCGGGGAACCACACGCGAACTTTGCCAGTGAGACCTTCGGCGGAACTCCCTGTGGGGCCACGAACCGTGTGATGATGATGATGCTGAGGTTGAGGAGGAGGAGGAAGAGGAGGAGGAGGAGGGAGTTGGCAGCGGGAGGGGTGCAGCGGGAAGAGGAGTGACGCGGAGCGCTGTCTCTTCAAAACGAGGACCCAACACCAAAGGATGGTTGGGGAAAAACGTGTGGTGCTCCGTATTACGGTCACAATGCCCAGCAACAAGTGATGCCCAGAGCCAACAGCAGCCGCTGTTGGGCAGGCGGACTGCTGTCTCGAATGAGCGACGTCCGCGGCGGCCCTGGCAGCGAGCCATGCTCAAAACGAAGAGGAACTGCTGCTGGCCTTTGTGGCCCCTTCTTTCCAAACGCGGCTACACGCAAGGGTGACCCTAGGCAAGACTAACCTCTGGTGCGCGGACTAAGGTTAGGTCGGGCATGTCCTCCTACAGGGTGATTTTGGACGCAACTTAAAAATTGTCAAATTATCCCAGTGCGACCCTACCTAGGAGTTGGAGCCTCTAGGAAAGCAACATTAGTAGGAGCGTTATATATAGCAGCAGCAATAGTGGATGCTGTGCTGCGCTATGCTATGCTGTGCTATGCTCTGCTCTGCTCTGCTCTGCTCTGCTATGCTATGCTGCGCAATGCTATCCTGGGCTAGGCTAGGCTAGGCTAGGCTAGGCTATGCTATGCTGCGCTATGCTATGCTGCGCTGTGCTATGCTATGCTTTTGTTTTGCCTTCGCTTTTGCATTCACTTTTGCCTTTGCTTTTGCTTGGCACCCCGGGAGCGCAACTGGGGGAACCTCGCGCTTGCTTTTACCTTTGCTGATGCTTTTGCTTGGCTCCCAGGGGACCGCGGGAACCGCCCGGGGCGGGTTCCACTGCCCGGCCCTTTAAGCCAAGCGAGTAAAAACCCTTCTAGGCAGAGCCTAGATAGGGAAAAATGCTACCACATGGTCTTGAAGAACTATTGCTTGACTGTTTTTGAATACTCCTCCTGTAAGAGGGGCCAGCGCGACTTCACCCCAGGCAAGACTGACCTCTGGTGCGCGGACGAAAGGAGCGCAGCGTGGCCAGATCCTGGAGGCCTGGAAACGGGCACCAGCACCAACACGGGGGGGCTGCCTCCACAGGGGAAGACCAATCCTCGATTTCGGTGTCGGTGCCAAGAGTTCGGCCACCTTGGAAGCCAGAAGTATCACCACCATCTCCGAGATCGGGATCTTCTTCCCTCGGTGGACGCACACCACCGGTATTGGTGTTGGTGTCAACCTCTAGGCCTGCGAAGATCCCAGCGCGCAAGCTGCTGCCATCGCACCGCGCTCCGCGATCGGGGGGGGGGGCCCGACGACCCCGCACCCCGAGGCCACTCCAGCGGAGGGCCACCGCCGCGCGCCGTCGAATTCTCCCTCGCCCCGAGCCTGGCCCGTCACGATCAGCGCTGCCACCTGTGAAAGGGGCCCAGGGGCACACGCTAACAAATACACACAGATCCCAGGATTCCCCCCATTCTTCCATCTTGTCTGGGTCTTCGCCTTCCCCCCCCCCCCCCCCTCTTCCAAATTTTCCGATATCTTTTCCCGGGGATCGACGATGAATTGTGTCTGTGTGTTTTTTCTACTCCTGGACCTGCCCGGCCTCCACCGCCGCGCGCGCTTGGCGCTCCCTCTCGGCCAGCGCCTCGGTCAGCGCCCCGGCGGGGACCGAGTCGAGGACCATGATGTGCATCTCCTCGCTCAGCACCCTGCAGCTGAAGCCGATGTTGCGGGCGGTCTCCAATTTGTCGCCCGTGAGCACCCACAGCTTGATCCCAGCCTCGCGCACGCTGACAATCGTCTCCTGCACGCCGACCTGCAGCTTGTCTTCGATGGCCGTGACCCCCAGGATGTCCAGGTCCACCTCCAGCTGTTCCGCGACGGCCGCCAGCTTCTCCTCCCGGTTCTCCAGCGCCTTCTGCGCCTGCGAGTACGCCTCCCGCCACGAGGCCCACTCATCATCGCCGATGGCGCGGCTGCCGAGAACCAGCGTCCGGAGCCCGGACTTGGAGAAGTACGTGAGGTGCTCTGTCGGGAAGTCCTTGGGTGGCGACATCCAGTGCATGGACAATTTTTTCGAACCCTCACGCACACACACACACACTCACACACACACACACACACTCTGGAGGTGGATTGTCATCACCCACCGACCCCGAAAGCAATGTTGACTTCATCATGGGTGATGGTTTCGGGGTTAGAATATCTTTGTCCACCCAAGCCGCCTCCATTGCCACACCCTCAATATTCATTTGGGGGGTCCAGGGGGGCATCTTGCGCCGCAGGGTTGGAACGTATTGTCCATGTGTGATCCGAACCCTACCCCCACCAACCGTCGATTCTCCTGAGCCGATGGTAGGCGGGGGCAGAGCTCGGATTCCGCCACGTGTTCGACGAATTCCGAAGTCTATCCGCGCCGCCCATCGAGTTGCCTGACTCGTTGATCGGCGAGGGTAGGGTTCGGATTTCGCCGCCGAGTCTGGGGAAAGCAAAAAGTACCGACACCGCTGCTCCCCGGACCTCTCTCAGGGTGCGTTCTGCCCAAGACTTCGAGGCGAATCAAGCGGTGGCGACGAGGGCCTCCCAGGGGGCCCGAAAAGGGGAAAACGAGGGAAGGTAAAGGTATGGGGACCCTTTGCTCCTCCTCCTTCTCCTCCTCCTCCTCCTCCTCCTCCCTCCCTCCTCCCTCCTCCTCCCTCCTCCCTCCTCCTCCTCTGAGTGTCCTGCTTCCCCCTCGCAGACGCGCGCGCCAGCATCTTGTCGTCCGCGCCCTTCACGAGCAGCACGCGCTTGCCGCCCGGCCGCTGCGCCACCACGGACTGCCGCTTGCGGTCCGAGGTGAAGGCGTTGAGCGCCAGCAGCCTTCGGGGGGAAGGGCAGGGCCCTCTCTTGGTGGAGGGGCGCAGTCTCTCACACACACACACACAGAAATAGGCACAGATCCCAGTATTCCCCATGTTTTCGCGGATGTTCTGGGCTTTTCGTCTTCCCCCCCGTTCCACATATTTTCCCATATTGTCCTGGGAGTCGACGACATCTTATGATTAACCAAAACAGGACCCCTGACCCTTTGGGAGGGGACCTAAGTTAAGAGGGCCAACAGCACGAGGGAAATAGGGGTTGTTTCTGCAGATGTGTCAGACCAAACCGCTCAGAATGATTGTCCCTGATGCGAAGGCGGGGACCTCAGTGAGGCCTCGTCTTCATCGTGTTTCTGGGGTCAATCAGGGGCTCAGTTTTGCTCGATGACTCGGGGGGGGGGACAGGGCCCTCGTGAGGTAGCACGCCCTCCAGCGAAGACGGCCCAGGCCTCGACCCGACGGGCGCAGGCCAGCGGAAAAGCTGCGGCCGCAGCACGCCGTCGACCAAAAAACGAAGTGTCGAAAACTGAACATGGGCAATCCGCCGAACAAATTGGCTAGAAGAAGAAAACAATTATCCTGACGAAGGACCCAACCATACGGTGGAGGGAAACAATTAGGGACCCCCCCCCTGCCCCCAAAACTCAAAGTTGGCACGCGCGGGGGAGACTACGGTCGAAGTGCAACTCATCGGACCCACCGCTAACTTGACAGATGAATGTGGCATGAATGTTCGCTATTTTTTCCGAGGCCTGTATGCAGTTGTGGGTACCGCAATTGTGAATATCTTCTTCGGTGAAGCCCCCCATGGGGCCACGAAGCGCTGCACTGGGTGGGGGGAAACGCATGCGGGCGGTAGCACTGGGGCCGTCGGTGGAGCTCCCTTTGGGGCCACGAAGCGCTGTACTGGGTGGGTGAAATGCCAAAGTTGGCGTGTAAGACGCATGCGGACGGTCCTACTGGGGGCTTCGGTGGAGCTCCCTATGGGGTCACGAAACGTATGAGGGGTGTGCCAAATTTGGTTTCCTGGACGCATGCGGACGGTCCCACTGGGGGCTTCGCTGGAGCTCCCTATGGGGCCACGAACCGCTGTGCTGGTTGGGTGAAAATGCCAAATTGGGCTTCTGGGACGCATGCGGGCGGTCCCACTGGGGGCTTCTGTAGGGCTCTCTATGGGACCACGAAGCGCTGTACTGGGCGGGTGAAAATGCCAAATTGGGCTTCTGGGACGCATGTGGGTGGTCCCACTGGGGGCTTCGGTGGGGCTCCCTATGGGGCCACGAAACGCTGTACTGGGTGCGCGGGACGCATGCGGGCGGTCCCTCTGGGGCCGTCGGTGGGGCTCCCTATGGGGCCACGAAGCGCTGTACTGGGTGTGCGGGACGCATGCGGACGGTAGCACTAGGCCCTTCAGTGGGGCTCCCTATGGGGCAACGAAACGCTGTACTGGGTGTGCGGGACGCATGCGGACGGTACCACTGGGACCTTCGGTGGGGCTCCCTATGGGGCCACGAAGCGCTGTACTAGGTGTGCGGGACGCATGCGGACGGTAGCACTAGGACCTTCGGTGGGGCTCCCTATGCGGCCACGAAGCGCAGTACCGGGTGGGTGAAACGCAGGGAGGAGGGAGGAGGGAGCCACGAAACGCTGTACTGGGTGTGCGGGACGCATGCGGACGATAGCACTGGGACCTTCGGTGGGGCTCCCTATGGGGCCACGAAGCGCAGTACTGGGTGAGTGAAACGCAGGGAGGAGGGAGGAGGGGGAGGGAGGAGGAGAGGAGAGGAGAGAAGGAACGCGGGGCACCGTGTCTTCAACACGAGGACCCAACACCACAGGATGGTTGGGAAAAACATGAACAATTATCCCAGTGCGACCCTACCTAGGAGTTGGAGCATTCAGGAAAGCAACAGCTAAGCTAAGCTAAGCTAAGCTAAGATGGGGTAAGCTAAGCTAAGCTAAGCTAAGCTAAGCTAAGCTAAGCTAAGCTAAGCGAAGCGAAGCGAAGCTAAGCTAAGCTAAGCGAAGCGAAGCGAAGCTAAGCTAAGCTAAGCTAAGCTAAGCTAAGCTAAGCTAAGCTAAGCTGAGCTGAGCTAAGCTAAGCTAAGCTAGGCTAGGCTAGGCAAAGCTAAGCTAAGCTAAGCTAAGCTAAGCTAAGCTAAGCTAAGCTAAGCTAAGCTAAGCTAAGCTAAGCTAAGCTAAGCTAAGCTAAGCTAAGCTAAGCTAAAGCTAAGCGAAGCTAAGCTCAGGGTAAGTTAAGCTAAGCTAAGCTGGGCTAGGCAAAGCTAAGCTAAGCTAAGCTGAGCTGAGCTAAGCTAAGCTAGCTAGGCTAGCTAAGCTAAGCTAAGCTAAGCTAAGCTAAGCTAAGCTAAGCTAAGCTAAGCTAAGCTAAGCTAAGCTAAGCTAAGCTAAGCTAAGCTAAGCTAAGCTAAGCTAAAGCTAAGCGAAGCTAAGCTCAGGGTAAGTTAAGCTAAGCTAAGCTGGGCTAGGCAAAGCTAAGCTAAGCTAAGCTGAGCTGAGCTAAGCTAAGCTAAGCTAGGCTAGGCTAGGCTAAGCTAAGCTAAGCTAAGCTAAGCTAAGCTAAGCTAAGCTAAGCTAAGCTAAGCTAAGCTAAGCTAAGCTAAGCTAAGCTAAGCTAAGCTAAGCTAAGCTAAGCGAAGCTAAGCGAAGCTAAGCTAAGCTAAGCTAAGCTAAGCTGGGCTAAGCTAAGCTAAGCTAAGCTAAGCTAAGCTAAGCTAAGCTAAGCTAAGCTAAGCTAAGCTAAGCTAAGCTAAGCTAAGCTAAGCTAAGCTAAGCTAGCTAAGCTAAGCTAAGCTAAGCTAAGCTAAGCTAAGCTAAGCTAAGCTAAGCTAAGCTAAGCTAAGCTAAGCTAAGCTAAGCTAAGCTAAGCTAAGCTAAGCTAAGCTAAGCTAAGCTAAGCTAAGCTAAGCTAAGCTAAGCTAAGCTAAGCTAAAGCTAAGCGAAGCTAAGCTCAGGGTAAGTTAAGCTAAGCTAAGCTCGGGGAACCCAGGGGGCGCAACTGGGGGAACCAGGGGGGCGCAACCGGGGGAACCGCCCGGGGTGGGTGTCATTTCCCGCCCCCTTTAGCCAAGAAAGTAAGAACCCTTCTAGGCAGAGCCTAGGTAGGGAAAAACCTTTGGCGCTCCGCGCGGATTTCTCGGATCCGCGCTGGCCCCCCCACCGCGGCGCGCCAAAAGTTTATGCTTATGGCGTGTGTTCTTCTTCGATTGGCAGGGTGGGGGCTCCACCACCCCCCGAAGCCTGTACTCGAGCGGCTCTGGAGAGGCGTGAACCGACACGGACACCGAGGTCGCGCCGCGGCCGACGAAGCGCCAGCCGACCCCCGCGGCCGCCTCGACCAGCGCGCCCTCATCGGGGCTCTCGGCCTCGTAGACCAGGCCTCCGCCCGGGTCCACCTTCGGTGACAACTCATGGGGGCCTCCTATCTATACCATCTTGTCGGCTCTTGCGAATCGACGCTCATCGACGCTCATCGACGCTAAATCGACGCCAAATCGACGCTAAATCGACGCTCATCGACGCTCGTCGTCGCTGAATCGGCGCTATCTCATCGATTACCAGACGTCAACCGACGCTAAAGTACTCTAAAGACGGAATTGCGAGGGTACAGAAGGCGCCCATGAGTTGCTACCGAATCCACCGTTGCGACGACCGTGTGCGATACCGCGAGCACCTCGAAGAACGCGTCGATGCCTCTGGCCAGCGAGCTCTCTCGCTGCGCCCTGGCAAACTCCGGTCCCCCCTGAAAGCCGCGGTGGGCTCCCGTGTGCCCATAGACCTCGCCAGCGACCGATACCTGCTTCAGCTCCATGACGTTCTGGGTCAGGGTGCCCGTCTTGTCGGAGAATATGTATGACACCTGCCCGAGCTCGTGTCCAAGGTTTGTGGAGCGCGCGTTCGCTGGGCAGTCCTGCTCCTCATCATACATTCCTAAGTCGCTCTTGATGAAGTACGCCTGGGCCACGTTACATACCTCCATAGTGAAGTAAAGCGAGATCGGCATCAAATTCGAATACAGCACAAAAAATGTGAGCCAGAACCCGATGATATCTGGAAGAACTATATCAGGCGCCTTTCCCTCGGGGAAGAGGTACCAGAAATCCAAAAGCCCATCGATGCTCTGGATGTGCATCACAGCACTGATGAACGCTAGCAGCGACTGCGCACCGATCACGACAATCAAAGACGCGTTTATCACCTTCTCGAGGTTAGCGTACTTCGGGCTCGCCTTCCGGGAGTTCATCACCATCCGCGTCTCGGAGCCAGTGTAGATCACCAGGCCCAGGCACCACGCCGTGTTGCGAAGCACCGTGCCCCTCAGCAACAACTGCCGCGGCCCGAGCGGAATCTCCAGCCGCTGAGCGCTGGACCGGCCCTCCAAGGTGAGCGACCCCGTGAACGTGTGGATGGACTTCTGGGGGAGCTCGGCGCGGACGCAACCGGTCACATCGGCCATGCCCTTGACGGCCTTGTCCAGCAGCGGCTCCCCAAGCTCCTCGGCCTCGAGCCCTCCATGGCAGAGCGCCTGGTTGACCGGCCCAGGGGCCGTCTTTATCTTGAGGTTCGTCTCTCCGTCCAAGTTGGCGGTCTCGACGTAGCATCCGCCCTCGTCGCCGGAGGAGGCGAGCGGCACGATGTCTGCGGGGAGCATCTCGCCGCTGCGCACAATGATCACGTCGCCCACCGCGACGTCTTTCCACGGCGCACTGTCGACGCTGTGAGGCTTGTTCTCGTGCGGGCGAACCACCACGGCACGCTGGTTGTTCGTCCTCCGGTCCGACGCGTGCCTGCGGAGGTCATCGAGCGCGGCGATCACCGAGGTGGCGGACATCATGAACGCCAGGGCCGCAAACGTGGAGATGTAATTCACAGTGCCACTGGAGAATATCCAAGGGTAGTGCTGGCCGACGAACATGATCACAGAAATAACTAAGAAATCCGCCACCGCGCCCGCAGCGGCTGGTGTGTCGGGCCTTCGCTCTTCCGTCACTGTCGCCTCCTGCGAAGCAGCAGTGATGGCCCCCTCTGACGCATTCAGCCCAAGACGCATTCCTTCGTGCTGCTTCATGTCTCTGTTTTTTTGGTGGCCTGACCGACAGGGGGGAGGAGTGAGGGAGGGAGGAGGAATGTTGGAATGGAATGGAATGGAATGGAATGGAATGGAATGGAGTGGAATGGGGTAGGGCGAACCAGGTCCGCCTGCCGACACAGCGGCGGCACGGAGGCTTAATCGCCCTCGAGTGGCCACGACACCGTGGCCGCTTTGCGCGCCTGCACTCCCTGGCCCATTCAATCGCAGAATCGGGCGAAGCAAAACCATGCAGGCGCGCAACTTGGGCCAGGTTCAGGTCAGGACCTGACACCCCGTACTGGTGGGAGCTGGCGGGGCCCCGGGTACCATCGGCCGCAGGACCAACAGGGGGCCCGCCAGCGGGCCCCGACGCGACGGACCCAGCCGACGAGGACCCAACACCCAAGCTGGACCCCATCAGCTCCCCCTGCAGCCACTCGACTCGATATCAGCCTCCTCAGGGCCTCTGAACGCGGACAGCCGAGGAGGAGGAACGGGGGCCGAGGGGTGGAGGAACCAACGCAGACGGGACCTCTGGGTCTTGAGCCCTGGGTGGCGAGGTCCCAGACAGGCCCCAGCAAGGCCTTGCCAGGGGAAACTTTCTGGGCCAGTGAAGCCCCACAGGACTTGCAAAAGAACGAACACATGCGGTCAGGGCCCCCCACCTCGCATTTCACCACCGAGGCTGAAACAGCCACGGTCTACCAGGCACGACCCACAAATTCAGCCCCACCTCCTCAGACGGCTCGGGCTCTGGCTCCAGCGGCGGCGGGGCGGGGGGCGCTGACTTCCAGCCTAGAAGCTCACGGGTCCTGAGGGCCGCCTCTAGGCGCACAGCATCGGAATCATCGATGGCATATTCTAAATCCAAGACAACATCCGAGGTGCCTACCACACCCTCGGTGTCCCAGGCCCCGTGGTCTCCTATCCAAGCATGGACTTGACCTATCCAAAGCACAAGCTCTCAGGCCAAGTCCTCGCACGTTTCCGCGAAAGAGGGCCCACTGGGGTGGGGTGTTCCAGAGCTGGCCCCCCTTTTTAGCCCATCGGCCCGCTAGATCACTGCCACACATTCACCGAGTGTCGAAAAAAGAAGCATCGCTGGACGCTCGAGCGTGTGCTCAAATTTTTTACCGTCGCACTGCTGCCATGATTATGCCACCAGCTCGCCCAACATTGGCGGTTGGGATTCATGAGGCTGGGAGCATTGGACACTCCTCGCGCGCGCGATCGTTCCGGCACAGTCGGAGCAAACCGCGGGCGCTCCATCGGCGGCAGGGTCGACTGAAAATTTGGCCAGCTTGCAGAACGCAAAATCCTCCGCATCTCTGGAGGACCGGGTGAGGGACCATGCAAGCGGCACAGCGCCATACACTCCACGACGAAACGAGCCGTCATCATTTATGCAGATCGCTGACCATCCAGCCGGGCGCAACCCGCCATGCTGGGTGAAAAAAGGCAGACCCGTCCACGAATTCCTAGCCTTCGAACAGCCACCCAGGCATGCGCCCCGCAAATCGGACGCGGTCCTCCTCGGGGATGTCAGACTCCTGAAAGGCGCGCACTGGCGAGGGCAGCAGGCCTCGCGCGAAGAGCTCGGCACGTTGCTCTTCTTCACGCTCCGCGACTCAAGCTGCCTCGAGCAGTTCAGGCGGGCAAGATTCGCGGCGAAGGAATTCTCTAGCAGGGCAGTGAGAGCACCTGTGCCACAAGGTGCTGCGGGCCCAACATCTCGCGCAGAAGGGGTGTGCAGCCTTGCCTGTCGCGCGCAATCTGGCTTGGCTCTAGTGCGCCCCACAGTTAACATATCTGGGCGCGTCCTTGCGCCTCTTGGTTTAAAGCTTTGAGACAAGACGGCCAGCGCAGGCCCCTGGCGGACCTCCGACATCCAAAGGCTCCCCAGTCTTCTCAGAGCTGTGGCGTCAGAGACAGCGGCCGCTGCAGCGCGGACAGCCCGGCAGGCCGCCCCTGGCGAAAACAAACTTCGAGTCGATCTCGCGCCGGCGATGATCGAGCAGACAGTCGTGCTTAACAAGCTGGCTGCCTGCACGGGCGAAGCTAAGCGCTGCGGCCTGGGCTGGGTCAGCGCACCGATTCCAGGGCCGCTCCATGCTCGGCAGGTGCAGCGCGTCCGCGTGGACCGCGCTCTGGACATCTTGCAGCAGGGGCCCGCCTCGAACTCCGATGGCCCAGGCCTCGGCGACCTCCGCCGCGTGCACGGCAAACGGGTCCCTGGGGATCACGCGCTACATATTGCGCACCCTGAAAGCGAGGCAAGCCCCAGCCGCCAGCCTGCCTTCTTCGGAGCGAAGCGCGCGCACCCGCAGCCCGTTCAGCTCGCCGTCCGCGATCCCCGTGACGGCAGAGCCCCAGACCGCCACGACGCATGGCGAGCATCGGCGCAGGTGGCAGGTCTTCGCCCCTGCCGACTGCAGCATTTTGATATTGGCCGCCGCGCGGCTTGCCTCGGCCAGCCGCTTGTCCTGCTCGGGCACGCGGCGCCCGCTGCCATCGCCGCCGTCGCCGCCGAGGCACCTCGGGCCCGCGTGCCTGGCCAGCCCCCAGCTCGGCCCAATGCTGATCCAGCTCCCGGGCCAGCTCTGCATCAGTGGCCATTCAGCCCGCCTCGCCCCAGTGGATCTTGAGGCGCCCCTGCTGCAGTCCCAGAAAGTGGTCGCGGGTGGCCCGCGGCAGCTCGGGCCCTGCCAAGCGCGCCGCGCCGACGGCCTGGAGGAGGCAGTCGCCCACCGGGCTCTGCGCTCTCACGAGCGGGAAACTGGAGACGACGCTGCGCGGCAGCGTGCACGTCGGTAGCTTCGCCGCGCCTGCCGCGCACGAGCGGCCAGCTGCAGCGGCGCCGTTCACCTCGATCGTCGGCCCCGCCCCCATGCCCAGCGTCGTCTTGCGAAGGAGGCGGCAGCTGGAGCGCCGGGCCCTGAGGAGCACCATCGGGAACTCCGTCTCGGCGGCCTGGTCGTAGAGCTCGTCGTGGCTGATGAGCTCGTAGTACTTCGCGAGGTCGACCGCAGGCGCGCTGGACACCAGGCCTGTTTTCTTCGCGAAGGCCGTCATCATGAGGTGCACAAAGCCAGCCTTCTCGCTGGAGGACCTGCCGTTCCGCAGTGGAAGGACTGGTCGACTCTGCGCCCCCACTCGGCAACGATGGGCCGCCGCAGCTGAGACCGCACCCGCGCCCAGAGGCTCGCCAGGATGCCAGGATGATTGGCCTCGCCGTCCCGGGCGGGGGCTTGGGAAGAAACGCCGCCAGTAGCAGCCACAGTGGACACCGTGCTGGGTTCATTTCCCAAGCGTGCACTATGTCCAGGAAGGCCTCGAGGTAGCTGGGCGGGAGCCAGCGCGGCCGCCGCGGGCGCGAGCGATCCCATCCGAGGCCCGTGCCCTCACCGTGCGAGGCCAACGCGTGGTCTCGGGCGTCCATGGCGATGGGCGGGAGGTCCTTCCACGCGCCGTGGGCGCCAGGCCTCCGCTGCAAGGGGTCCGCGCCCCCTGTTCTGTCAGGATGGATCCACGACGCCCCCCACTCCTGCGTCGGCACCTTCACGGCAACGTCTCCTGCGACAGGTAGGCCAGGGCCATGCTCGTCATCATCGTGCGCCACCACCGTCGATGGGACCAGACTACCATCCTTGATGAAGCGGCACGCACGCTGGCCCCCAGACTTGGCGGCCGCTTCCTGCGCCCACGCCCTCCATTCCTTGCCGCGCTTGCGCTTGTCACGCGCCTGGAAGGTAGCCGTGTAGTTGTGGAGGTCAACTAGCAGCAGCCCGCGATGCACGTGCAGCTCCTGCCTCTCGAACGCGTTCGCGATGGCGCGGTGGTCCCAGTGCGCCAGGGGGCCGTCCGACGGCCAGTCGTGGGCGCGGAAGTCGAAGCCTCTGATGACGCGGACCTGGCGGTCGAAGCGGGGGAACCTCCGCCAGCCCATGTCATCCTGGTGGCCGCGCAGGGCGGCCGCCTTCCTGCAAGCGGCCAGGAAGCCTGCCCACTTGCGGTACTCCGCACTCGTCGTCGCCTGCATCGTGGTCTCCCACTCGAGCGCGATTGGGATCGTCTCGACCTGGGGCCCCTGGTCCCTGGCCCCATTGCAGCACAGCAGCGGCCTCTCCATCTGGTGCAGCAAAACTTCGAAACATCCTCGATGTCAGCTGGCCCACTCCCCAGCTGCCACGGCCACTCCGCCTCGGCGAGCTCGGGCGGCGCAGCCTGAACAGCATGTAGGCGGCAGGGCGAACGGGTAGCCGCTCTGGTGACCGTGGCACGCTTGTGCAAGCCCTTCAGCTCGATGGTGGTAGGCGAGTGCGGCGAGAGCGGGGCGTCACTCAGCACGTTCACGGCACCGTCGCGGCTGGCGAGGGCCTCCGACACGATGGCGAAGTCATACCCCCACTTGCCGCACGCCGGGCTCCAGGGTCGGACCAGAACTCCTGCCGCCTGCATGGCCCAACTGGCGAGATCCCCTGGCTCGATGGTCCAGTCCGCCACGATAACCCACGGCCAGGCGAGGCCGCCCACCCAGGTCTGCAGGGCCTCGAGCAGCACAATGCTGTCGCCAATGAACCCGATGATGTCCACCATGTAGGCCGAGAAAACGAAAGTCGGGATCCCGAGCCCCGTGTTGAGCTTGGCTGCCTGGGCTCTGTGGGGGCTCAGCGCGTTGCACTCCTTGGGCCTCTCCTCGCTCACCGCTGCCACCGACGTCAGGACAGCCACGCCACCTGAGCTGTCAAAAGGCCCTGGGCCTG